TGAACAAGGACAGGGTAGAACAGAGGTGAACAAGGACAGGGTAGAACAGAGGTGAACAAGGACAGAATAGAACAAGCCCCTATGGGTTTCTGAGACTCTAAATCAGTGGTTCTCAAGCTTCCTAATGCCACAACCTTTAATACAGTTCCTCATGTTGTGGTGACCCCTAATCACAAAATTATTTTCATTGCTATTTCATAACTGTAATTTTGCTACTGTTATGAATCAGGCAAACCCTGTGAAAGGGTCTTTTGACCCCCTAAAGTGGTTGCGACCCACAGGTTGAGAACCACTGCTCTAAATCTTCACGGGAGTAGAAAACTTCATCTTTCTCCCAAGGAGAAGCTGGTGGATTCAAACAGCTGAATTTGCAGTTAGCAGTCAAATTTGTAACCCACCAAGCTACCAGGGCTCCAGAAGATAAGTAAAGATATAGTAAAAATTAAAAGAGAGAGAGAATGAGAGCATGGCATTAAATAATTTTGTAATCAATATACAGTTTAGGTCATTTGAGATGAAAACAAATAAGAATGCAGTGTTAAGTTATTCAAAGAATGGACTCAATCTGAGTTAATATATTAAAGGGAAAATTGAGACCAAGAAAAGGTTTTGATTAGATTATTTACATAGGATGAAAGAAGTTAAAACTCAATCCAGGTTAAATTTGCATAACAGCAGACTCTCTAAGCAAGCAAATCTGATCATCATCATTGGAAACAAAAATCTGAATTTTAATTTTTATTAAATAAAAATAAAATATTTTATATTTTAATAAAGCTTATCTTTATTAGGTGACTACAATTTTTAGAATAGTTTTAGGTTCACAGAAAAAAAATTGGACAGTTTAGAGAGTTCTCATATTAACTCCCCTTCACACAGTTTTCCTTACCATTAACACCTTATATTCGAATGGCACATTGGTAATAATCCATGAACCAATACCGATATGTGATTATTAACTAACGTTCATAGCTTATTCAGATTTCCTTTATTTTTACCTAATCCCACTTTTTTGTTCCAAGATAACCATCGTTATTTTTATTGATTTTAGGTGTTTCTGAAAAAAATAAAAGCACTGAATAATTTCCCAATGGCAATCCCACCCCCTACTCCTGAGAAATATCTTCATAACATCATTTGGCTGGAAAATAAAGAGGTTCTCATCGAGTTTTTCAGGGTAAATATTTGGTTATCTACTCTGGTTCAAGGTTGATGGTAATTATTTTTAGTGCTTTCCACTTCCTCATGTAAGAAAAGCACATGCAAACTAGATTCTGTATTGGTCGATGTAGGCTAAACCTGGAGAAGGACGTGAAGCCCAGAATCTTCTTGCCCCACTTAGCACCATACCTATGCAGATCTGTTAGACTCTCCCTACCCCTTACGAACATCTGTCAGTCTTTAAGTGGCCTATCCCTTAATATGAAGTCCATGAGTGGTTAAAATACCCAGACACTAACCAAAAGGTTGGCAGTTCAAGTCCACTCAGAAGTACCTTGGAAGAAAGGCCTGATCATCTATTTCTAGTAGAGCACAGAAAACCATTTGGAACAGTTTTACACCTGGGGCCACCATCAGTTAGCATTGACTCAACAGCACGTGGGGCTTGGCTCCTGATTGAGAGCCGTTCTTGATGACAATTGAGAGTAAACATTACTGAGTGTTCTCTAAGTGCTGATCTGGGCGGAGTTCCAAGGCAGGCCACTGGGGGCCACCATCGATCACTGCCCTAGGGGACACCAGCCCCAGTGGTGACTCTGCTTCTGGATCTTTGCATATGCTGATCCCGCTTCCTGAATGGTTTTCAGCTCTTCTTATCCTGGCTGTTCCTCTTCCTTCCAGCCTTAGCTTGTCTGTCCGTTCCTCTGTAAAACCTTCCCTGGACACCCAAGCCAGGCTCATGCGGCCTTTCTGCCTTTTTATATGGTATCCTGTTTCTGTCTCTTTTGAGTGAATTATAATTCCCTACCCATCTTAACTGCAAGATCTTCTTAGACAGAGAATTGGTTTAGTGTGCCATTATTATCCAAACCACAAACAGGGCCTAAATGCATCCTGTTTCTTCCATAAAGCTTATTGAAGCTGATATGAGTTACCATACTAGGCACGAATCAGAGTCTACACTTTGTTCAAGGACCTCTAGTGGCCTACTGGTTAAGGCCTTGGCTGCTAAAACAAAGGTTGGCATTTTGAACCCACCCTATGGCTCCACAGGAAAAGTACCTGGTGCTGTGCTCCCAGGGAAGGTGAGTCTGACTCACGAAGACAGAGCACACAGTAGAACTGCCTCCATGGGGTTTCCAAGGTTGCAAATCTTGCCAGAAGCAGACTGCCTCATCTTTGTGCCATGGAATGGGCAGTAAGTATGAACAGCCCAGGGACCTTCTTGTTAGTAGCCAACCACTGAACAACAGGTGCTACCAGAACTCTCCATTTAAACACAGCACAGATTACCTTGTTTACTCTGTGACATGGGCCATCATGAGCCTAAAATTGACTTGGCGGCACCTATCAACAATAGGAGCCCTGGTGTTGTAGTGGTTACTTGTTGGACTGTGGTCTACATGGTTGGGAGTTCAAAACCACCAGCCTCTCTGAGGAAGAAAGACTGGGTTTTCTATTCCTGTAAACAGTCCCAGTCTTGGAAACGCCCAGGGGGTCACCATGGGTCAGCATTGGCTTGATGGCACTGCATTTGGTTTGCCTTTGAAAACGACAACATACTGCATATACTGGTGTATAAGCTGAGTTTTTAGCACATTTTTAATGCAGTTTTTGTGGTAAAATTAGGTTCCTTGGCTGATAGGTCGGCTAATACTCGAGTATATACGGTAGTTTGTTGGGGGTCTCCTTTTCTTTCTAAAAGTTGATGTGGTATACCTCATTAACACACCTCAAATACGATCAGTAACTTGAAACCCATTTTGGATGATAAATCATAGTTCCATTTAGAGAAGTAGACTGCAGAGCTTTGACATTGACTCTGCTTATTTCTTTTCTTTCAGAAAAAAGCCAAACTTGCATATTTTGACTATGGAGATGTCATATGTAAGGAAGGAGAAATGCCACAAGGAATATACTTAATCATCTCAGGAATGGCAATTGTAAGGGGCTTTTTTATTTATTTATTTTTTTACTGAAAATGTATTTTGAAATATGTAACTGTCACACAAGAGCCCTGATGGTGTAGTGGTTCTGCGTTAGGCTACCAACTGAGAGGTCAGCCGTGTGAAACCACCAGACAACTCCTCTGGAGAAAGATGAGGCTTTCTCCTCCCATAAAGAGTTACAGTCTTGGAAACTCACAGGGACCATTCTACCCTGTCCTATAGAGTTGCTATGAATCAGAATTGACTCAATGACGGAGAGTTGTTTTGGGTTTTTTTTAGCTGTAGCATGAGAAGTTTTCGGAACTGAGAACATGTAAAAGTTTTAACTTTCTCAAATGGCTGAAACTGTGTCTGCTCTGATGAAACACAACTGCTGAGAAACAATGATAATAGCGAACACTCGAAAGGTGCTTCACATTTTACAAAATGCTTTAGCCAGTCCTTAGTCCTCACAGTCATGTACACAAGGAAACCAAGACTTGGAGTGTTTCGGTTACTCGCCCAAAGGAAATGAGAGTTTGGGGAACAAGGGCGGGGGCCACAAAATCAACTACTCAGAGACATCAAGTAGGATGAGCATTGACATACAGTTTTTAATCTGACCAAAGGGAGGCTTCGGGTGGCGAGGAAGAAACAGAGCAAAGGAGTCATAGTGCAAGAGGGTGTGGAAGAGAGAGCTATTTCAGTGGTGGGGATAAGAATGCCATTGCCCTTGAACTTGGCAGTGGAATACATTTGGTGAGCCTCACCTATGACCCTCTATGATCTAACATTCTTAGATCCTGGAAATAGGTTCCTGAACTTACTCGGCCTATTGCCCACTTTTCAGGAAGAAAAAATTTTCTCACCGTCCCCCTGCCAATTGAAAACTTTTGTACGATAGTCGATAAGCCAAGATAAAGCGTAGCCCCCCTGGATTGTTCGAGTGCCCCTTGCCCCCTGTCAAGGAAATACTTCCCCACCTTGGGCAACACTGCCCTAGAAGATGGCCATACCCATGAACCCTCAGCTGGCAAATGATCAAGGATGTATTTAACTTCCTGTTTTAGCCGCAGGGGCAGTTCTCCTTTGTCGCTGTGAGTTGGAAACGACTCCATGGCACTGAGGGTTGGGTTCTTTTGCTTGTCTTGTGTTTTGAGTTTGAGAACAAGGAGCCTGGGTGGTGTACGCGGTTTTGCGGTTGGCTCCTCACATCAAAGTTGATGCTTCGAAACCACCCAGTAGAGAAACCACTCCACAAGAGAAAAGCCAATCTCTGCTCCCGTAGAGATTGCTGCCAAGAGACCCCCAAGAGCAGTTCTGTTCTCTAACGCCCGGTGGGCCCGGGCTCGGTGATTGAAAGGCTGCCAACACAATAATATGAAGTACCGCCCACGAAAACAGAACCGCTCGTCAGCTGAGCCCACGATGACCCGTGTGTGTTTTCACGATGAGGGTTCCCTGGGTGACTTTTCAGGGCTGGTTTTGTTAGGCCTCTCCCGCACAAGTCTCAGCTGTTCATGCATCGTTCACACACGCGTCATGTCTGCCGCCAGGCCTGGCTTTGTTCCCGCCATGCTGAGGGCTGACAAAGCGGATGAAAAGTTCTTGCCATCCTGGGCTTCCCGTCTAGTGGACCGATGCTAGGGAGCTGGGACAGACACTGAGCAAAATAAATCAGTTACATGGAAAATGTGCCAGAGGAGACAGACGAGGGGGATAGAGGCAATATGTTATGATTAGCCATCTCGCTGCTCTGGCTCCTCTTTACAATCATAACCAGACTATATGGCTACCAGTATCTATTAGCTATGTCATAGCAAACCCTTGAAATAAAGCTAACATGCATGCTACTCGTGTAATATATACAATAAAGGAACATAACATGTTCCTTTGGGGGACTTTTTCTACAACGGTTGGTAGCTAAGCCATCTTAAAATATAAATCCAATGGCATTTAGGCTGAAGATGTATTTGTTTTCTATTGCTGCCAACACACGTGACCACAAAAGTCACAGCTTACATTGAAGATCTCCCAACCAGAATTCCGCCGGGCTGGACCGTTTTGTGAGCTTGAGTCTTATCAGTTTGAAATCCAAATGTCAATACGACTCTTTTCTTGTAGCTGCTGGAGAGAATCAGTTTCCAGTCTCATTTGGATTGTTAGCTGAGTCTCATTTCGTCCTGCTCGTATGGATTGAACTGTGTCCTTCCAGAATAAGTTTTGGGAAGCTTATTGTCCTAAAGGCAAAGGAGCGCTGGTAGTGTAGTGGACTATGTGCTGGGCTGCTAACCACAAGGTCAGCAGTTTGAAACCACCAGCCACTTGGTGATGAGAAAGATGAGGCTTTCTACTCCCATAAAGATTTACAGTTTCGGAAACCCACAGGGGCAGTACACTCTGTCTTGTAGGGTTGCTATGAGTTGGAATCGATTCGATGGCGGTGGATTTTTGGAACCAAAGGCAGCCTGGTGATGTAGTGATTTACACACTGAACCGCTAACCACCTGTTCTGAAATTTGAACCCACCAGCCGCTCGTCAGGAGAAAGATGAGTTTGTCTACTTTCATAGACATTTAAAGTCTCGGAACCTACAGTGGCAACTCTCCTCTGTTCAGTAGGTTCACTCTGAGTCGGAAATGGCACGATGGCTTTTGGTATACCTGTTAGAGAACAGGGCTTTCTTAACATGTTCATGAGACTACAACAGTGTAGGGCACGCCACGCCCTAAACCCCATCACTCGGAGTGATGCCTAGGGCAGCAAGGGTACAGAGATTGAGCACAAATAGGAGGAGCCGCATGCCACGCGAGAGTCACCAAGAACCAAGGAATAATGGAGCTGTGGGCGTTGAGGAGCCCTTCTCCCAGAGCCCACAGAAAGAGAGCCTTTCCTTGGAGCCAGTCCCCTGACTTTGGACTTCTGCCCCACTTCTCACATCCCTGAGTAGATTCCGACTCACAGCAGCATTGTAGAACAGTGCAGAGCGGTCTATTTCCATTTCCTAGATTTAAAACTTTATGGGACCAGATAGACTCATCTTTCTCTCATGGGGTGACTGGTGGATTTGAACCACTGACCTTGCAGCTAGCAGTTCAATGTGTAGCCCGGTAGGCCACCAGGGATCTTTTTCTAGCCTCCAGAAGTGTGAGGTTCTTTAAAGCCTCTTCTTTCAAGCCACTGCGGTATTTACCTTATAACAACATAAGAAACTCAGATCCTGGTGGAAGACAGTGGTCCTACTTCCCTGCTGGCTCATGGCGCTCCCTTTTTCAGTTTTTGTATGTTTGAAGACCCTTCTATCTCCGAGCCAGGAAAGACCTGTCAAGTCCTTCTCTGGGTGCTGCATCTCACCAGGACCTCTACTGTCTCCTTCTACTTTTAAGGACTGGACCACTGAGTCCACATGGACAAGTCAGGATAATTTCTTTATTCCAAATCAGGTGATTAGTAACCTTACTTTCACCTTAGAATGTCTATGCCTATAAAGAATTACACTCTCAGGAACCCACGGGCCATTCTACCCTGTCCTATTAGTGTTGCTGTGGGTCCAAATTACCTTAATGAGTTTGGTTTGGGATAGAATGATTGAGTTTATTCCTTAATGCCTTAATTTTATACCCAGTAATACTTAAGTTAGTGTTTGATCGGACAACAGTGGGGCCAGGAATTGTAGGGAACATCTTTAGAATATGGAGGAAGGGGAATCTCTCTGAAGAAAGCAGAGCATTTTTTTGTGGCTTTGATCTTTTGAACTGCATTCAACATTATGGCCACTTTAAAACAATTTTCCAAGTCTTCTGGAAATATGGAAGCTTGGATTCCAACTGATCATTTCTAAGAAAGGGGCAGTTTTCACAGCCAATTTCTTCAGCCACCTGTTGCTCTCCTGGGTCTTGAACAAGCAGCCTTCCTCTTTGCTGTTAGGGACTAAGCTTCCTGGAAAACCTGGACAACCTTCTGGTTGTTGCCAGCAGTTGTCCACTGAAGTCTGATATTCCTCCTTCCTCAGCGGTGCCTGCCAGGCCTCTTCCTGAATCACGCAACCAGCCTTTTCTGTTGTCTCGTGGGGACGCTTCTTAAGCAACTGAAAAGGAAACAAAGCTTTTCCTGAAACAGGGCTTGGGTTGGAGGCCTGTTAATTAATGGCATCTGATTTATGCATCTGTGCCATCAAAAGTATTTCTCCCCTCTACCTTTGGCCTTGGCCCATTATGATACAGATATTTCATAAATTAGAGTTGGTGGCTGCATTAGTTGCAGATTGTAATGACCTATTTTCGTGGGAATTTTGTATAAGAAAAACTATACATAGACCATTGTATTTGTAAAAACTGAGAGCAAATCTTTGACCTAAAGATTTGAAATGTGAGAAGCCTAATCTTGGTAAATCTGATTCTTATTTCACAATCTGACAAGGCTCTAATGTATTAGTCTAGGTACTTTAGAGAAACAAATCCACAGCAACTCATGTAGAAGAGAGTTTTATGTAAAGAAAGTGTGCATCATGGAAACATCCAAACCCACAAGTCCAACATTAACCCATTAACCCAACACCAGTCCACAAAGTCCTCCACCTCACAAAACAGAGGCAATGATGCCGACTGCAGGAGGAAAGCTGAGTCAATGAACGAATAAGCATCTCAGCACTAGCAGGCGTCTCCACACGGCTGCTCCAGCACCCAGGGCTGCATCGGGATAGGTCCATGTGGCTTCTCCTTGGGGATGTCTTGTAGGAAGTCAATCTTGCAAGCTGAAGCAGGGAACTGCTAAGGCAGCTGCACCCTGGTGTGAACATCACAAAGCAAGAGATCCAAGAACTAGAAAGGTGAGGCTCACCACCCATTTATCCCTCTGCCTTTCAATTAGCCCCACATGTGTTTATCGGCCAGGTTGGCACAATTAACTAACTCAACTCATAAAGAATATTTTCCTTCCAGTGTCATCCTTGCAAGAAACAGTGGGAATTCCTATGGTTTGGTCAAAACTAAATATAGAGCTGATTATCATTTACCGTGACCCTGTATGTCAGAGTTAGGTAGGGTTTTCAATGGTGAGAACTTCCTGCTAAGGCTCTTTTGGGAAGACTCAAATCTCACCTTTTTGCTGAGCAGCCAATACCATCCACCATTTGGACTATTTAGGGCCTTGATGGTTTGATAAAAAATAATTTCATTTCTTATTTCCCTTTGCATATCCCCACCCCCCTTCTTTGCAGTTGCATAGTTCACCTCCTACCTTTGGAGTAGACAGTAGCCTAAAACCTGAAAATATATCCCAAACGATGTTTACCGAGTACTGCACTAGTGGAGATATCATCGGAGAATTGAACTGTCTGCTTAAGCGTGAAAATGATTTCACTGCGATCTGTGAGACTATTTTACAAGTAAGTGGGTTCTCTAAATTGTTATTGGCTCAGTCTTCAAGTAAATAAGGAAGACCAATATAATCATTTCCTTTGCTTCCTGATACTGCATTTATTCGTTCAACTAGTTATTGGGAGACCAGGTGGGCTAGTGGAGAGAATGCAGGTGTAGTGTCTCATGTCTAGGTCTGCTGAGCTCTGAGTTACACATCCTGATGTAGGGCCTTGGGTGAGTTATTTAACCTCCTTGAGTCTTTTCATCTCTATTCATTACATAGAGACAATACCTACCTTTGATACCATGAAGATCGAGTCTTTGTAAACTGCCTGCTCCATGCAGATGCGCAGTAAATGGCTTCCACTAGGAGAACACCTTTGTTCTTGTGCTAAGAATACTCATTTGCTCAGATTTCTAAAGAAAGTCACATTGAACAGGATTGGTAGAGACTAGAGGAATTCTGGGCACTACTGTTTTAACACTTCCTGTGAATCTGGAGCTGATGCCATTCTGGAGGTCACTTTTCATGCAAATAATAGATGAATAAATGGCTCACAAAATAAGCGCTAACATCTGTGAATAGTGTGCAGCCCTAAATAATGAACAACAATACAATTCGGGAAAATCGCCTCTGGAAACAGATACAGTGATAAAATACTTTTCATACTGTGACAATTAAAATAGGTACACTGATGAAACTTTGCTCCTGAATTTGGGGCTCATGAGCCATATCAAATATCATATAGATTGACTGAAATTAACTTCCTCAGTCTATTATTAAATGTCTATTGCTTTAATTTGGCTGTACTTTTTATCATTTCATATATAGTGGACCACTTCTCTGCAAAATAACTGCTTTCCCCCTCCCTGTTTTTATGTTTATTTACTTTTAATTCAGAGTTAATACATATATCATTCCATAGTTCAATCATGTCAAGCAGTATTTTACAATTGCTACCACAATCAGTTTCCAAACATTCTTTTTCTTCCTGGAGTCCTTGACATCGTCCCTCTTTTACCCACCTACCCCCACTGAATTCTCCATCCCCCTCCCATCCTGCCCCAAACCCTTATTCTACTTGCTGTCCCTAGAGGTTCATCAATCCTGGGTTTGATACACCGAACAGCAGAAAAACATATAACACAACTTCAGAAGGGTGTCTCCCAATGACATAACACATCTCAGATAAACCCTAGTATGATCAGACAGAAAAACAAAACAGTACAAACACTTTTAATGGAAGAGGACAATGTGAGTATATTAAAGTGGATAATTTTTCTGAGGGGTTAGTTGAGAATTAATTCTACAGTTAGCTTGTTTTCCAATGGTTGTGTAATTTCATTACAATCATGATTACTGCTCTTGAGGCTATTTTAAAAGATATAATCATATGCACTTCCATAGTTCGGTCATATTTGAAAAGAGTTGTATATACATCGCCACAATTGGTTTTAGGACATCCTCCCCTCTCTTGTATTCATTATTTGCTCTCCCACTCCCTTCAAGCACCCCGTCCATATCCCCAAAAAGTCATTACATCAGTCATTGCCTCTACACATCTGCCTCTTTTGTGTCTCATAAACTAGGAAACAGACAATATGTGTTATTTTCATTTATATATACATTTAAACCACTGGCAAAAATAAAATAAACCAGAGGAAAAAACCTCTGTCCAGAAAAAAAGCAAGAAATATTGAAAAGTAGAACAAATACAGAATGGGTCCAGGGAGATCCAGTGTCTACATATCACATTATACTGTAGTTCCATTTACCATAGTCAAGTTTACCGTAGTCACTATCTAATAGCAAGGCTATTAGAGTCTCTTGGCTATGGTCAGAGGGGCTCTACCAGAGGCTTAATCCATGTAACTACCCGGCAGATGGATTTGGGGCTCCCACTGTCATCTAGAGCCTTCTGCAAACCAGGAGTTCATAATTTAAGTTCTGATACCTTTTCCCTCATCCTATTCGGATGTTGTTATTTGTAATCTTTAGATTACACAAGCTGGTGTGCTTCTTCCACCTGGACTTAGATGACCCCTCACGTAGATGGCTGCTTGTTTGAATGCATGCCTTTAAGACTCTAGACACTATTCTTTTTAATAGCCAGCACCATCTAATTTCATCAAACCTCGCTGTAGCACCCATTTCTTCAGTGACTTCTTTGTGAGGGCGAGTATGGAGCAGGACCATGTCACAAGAACTAAATATTCTTGGATTGGGGCTAAAATTAAGTGGGGCCAGAATCCATTCTCTTGTCCACAAATTATGAATGACTCTGATTCACCTTAGAGGTCTCATTATCATTTCTGACAAAGAACATGATCAATCATCCCCGTATGGCATAAGACAATTCCATTGCCAATGTCATTAATTTATCCAATGGCATAAAATGTAACATACTGTTGAGAAAAGGAGGTTATGCAAATATAGCCCAGCTTTGAACCACAATCCAATGAGGTATTGATTTTTACAGATTGAATTCTTAAATTCAATTAGGCTTTGTTTGTATTGTGGGGGTTGGTGCTAGGGGAAATTTTCCTGAAACATTCATTTACAAGGCAGAACATTTCTTATCAGATTAGTACATGTCATATTAAAGCAAGGAGGTCATTAAAATAGTGAATAGGTGATGGTTCTGGGACCCTGTTCATTGGATGCTGGCAAAGCCAGGATCCAACCAAGGTCCGATGGCAGCCATTGGTTTCTTCTCACACCAGGGAATTTCAGTTTTAAGTCCAAGGTAATTTTAAAGTAGAGCACAGTTCCTACAGTGGAGTTTGAGTCCTTCTGGTCTGATCTTCAAGGGCTACCATGTTCCCCGGAGGACAGAGTCTAAGGTCATTAGTGTTAGTATGGGAATAAAAGGTAAGTGGACTGGAGCATGGGTTTCAATTAACAGGCTTTTATTAGAGTTAATGACCTGCACGGGTGTTTAGATTGGAATGAGAGTCAAGGGGGCAGGGTGAGGGGAGATTGGAAGACAGACAAGTAAAGAGAGAAGAGCTGAAAGTCAGAAAGGGAGAGCTAGAGAGAGGAAGAGACAGAGGGACAGACATGCGGCCATACGAGAAGGTGAAGAAAGTCAGAGAGAGTGAGCAATGGAATCCTATGTTAATAAGCTTTGGGGACAGAAATAAATTATTATGTCTAAAAGGAGCCCACGCTTCCCCCTCCCCCCATTGGCTGTGGCATCAGCGGACCAGTGAAGAGAGGGGGTACAGTTTCTGTAAGACGGCGAGGGGTCACGGTACACTAGGTGGGATGGAGAAGGGGTTAGAGATGCTGGCTGTGGCTGAGAACGGTAATGTTACTGCTGGACCCTTTAATTATCACAGTACACAGCACCTGGTGCAGCTCACTGAGGGTTGGGTAGAAACCAGTTCAACAGTGTTTAATCAGGAGCACACTACCAGGCTTATTCTCCCCTTGGGTTCTCTGTAATTAGGGTTGAGTATCCCTTCCTGATGAGAAGTTGCTCTTCCCCATTTACCCACCAACAGAAGTGTGGGTAAATGGATGCTCCCCTGCCCTGAGGGTGAACTGATTTCTAGTAAGGCTCCCTTCTCTCCGGTGGAGTGTCTCCCTCTGGTGATGTGGCACGACCTCATCTCAGTGTTGTAAGGCATCAAGTGGATGGTCTTCTCCCTTTTCCCCTTCTTGAAGGAGTGACCTTGCTGATGTGAGGTCTGCTCTTTCAGGGTGGTTCTTAAGATGTGTCTCTAAGGGGGGTGATGTAGGGTTCATGGACAGCAGGCAGGCTCTCTACCCTTTTGTTTGCAAAACAAAAGGTCTTTAGAATTTATTTATTTGGTATTTCCCCTCATAGTAGTGGGCTAATACAGTCTTTGTCCTTTTGTGATTGACTAACTTCACACACGCAGCATAGTGGTTTCCGGGTCCTTCCATGATGTGTGGTGTTTCATGTTTTTGTCATCTCGGGCTGTCTCTGAGTCTGCATGGTTTTCCATTGTGTGTATGCACCACTTGCTTTATCCAGTCTTCTGCTATTGGGCTGCTTCCAGTTTCTTGCAATTAAGGACTGTGTTGAGGCTATTTCTTCCTATGTCTCTGTACGTGCTAGGAGCCCTGGTGGCACAGTGGTTATGAGTTGAGCCACTAACTCAAAGGGCAGCAGTAGAAACCACTGGCCCCTTTGAGGGAGAAAGATGGGACTGTCTACTCCCATAACGAGTGACTGTTTCAGAAAGCCAAGGGGGAAGTTCTACTCTACCCTGTAGGGTTGCTATGAGTCACCATCAACCCAATGGCTGTGAGTTAGGTTTTTGGTAGGTGTCATAAATGTATCTATGTATACATATGAGAGCAAACAAGGGGCAAACGTATGAAAACTTCTAAGCCACAATCAGACACCTGGAGGGGATGAGTCACTAGGCTTGAGGGCATAGGATCACAGCCAGGGGCATTTGGGAAAGCTAAGTCAATTGTTACATAAGACAGCGTTCCACAGTGTATACTGATGAGTAATGACTGAGGTCTTAAAAGCTTGTGAGCTGCCATCTAAAGCAAGGGTCCTCAAACTATGGCCCGTGGGCCACATGAGACCCGCCCGAAGACATTTATCTGGCCCGCCAGGTGTTTTTGCCACATTTGTTTTTTACTTCAAAATAAGATATGTGCAGTGTGCGTAGGAATTTGTTCATAGTTTTTTTAAAGACTATAGTCCGGCCCTTCAACAGGTCTGAGGGACAGTGAACTGGCCCCCTGTTTAAAAAGTTTGAGGACCCCTGATTTAAAGTGTAACTATTGGTCTTTTCCTATATGGAGGAAACAGAGTGCAGAAAATGAAATCCACAAGGAAACAATTACTCTAAAGGACTGATGGACCTTGCAAACCACAGATCACTGCTACCCTGTGACCGGAAGACCTATATGGTGCCCAGCTACCACTACTGACTGCTCTGATCAGGACCACACGAGGTCTTGGACAGAAGGGGCGGAAAATGTAGAACAAAATTCAAATTGATAAAAGGATAAGACTTATTGGTCTCATGGAGACTGGCAGAACCTTCAAGGCTTTGGCCCTTTAGCTATCCTTCCAAGCTGGACCTAAGCCCACTGCTGGGGACCACCTGGCAGCTAAACGACAGGCCTATACATTGAACAGTAACACTTGTGAGGCATGTATTCCTTAGAGCAATTCAACACCTGAAACCAAGAAGATAGCATTTATCCTAAAACAAAGCTCAAAAGACAGAAAGTATTAACAAAGAGGAATGAATGGATACAGGGAGCCCAGAGTGGCAGAAAGCTGCTAAATTGAGAAAATTGCAACTAATTCTACAAAACAAAATATGTATGATTGGTTGAATGAACAATGATTTGCTTTCTAAAATTTTGCCTAAGCTACACACACACACAAGCAATTCTACATCTGTACACATCTAAATAATACAGCTTCATTAGAAGGATATTTGTTATATATATTATTTCACAATAAAATCCCTTTTAAGTGTTCAGAGTGATGAAACAACAACCTGGTGCCTTGTCTTCTCAGGCCTGCTTCATCTCCCTGGAGGATTTGTACGAAGGCTTTGATGTCTTCTGGCCCTCCCTGGAATATAAAATATGGCTAAAGCTGGCTCTCCATATCGCTTCTCAGTACTTTGAATCAAGTCTGGTTGATGAGGTAAAATGACATGTTGAAACCAGGAATAAGCTTTGTGCACTGTGTGTTTTACAAAATGTATTTTCTGTTTTCAAGACAAAGGTGGAAAGGAAGATGGTGTCTGAACTTCTCAAAAATAGAACATTAAATAAGCTTCCTTACCCCGACTTCTTCCAGGTCATCAGTTGTCTTGTCACTGCTGTTTGTTCTATGATTCCTGAAGATGTCTTTTTTTTTTTTTATTAAGTATGGTTGGAAAACATGAGGGTGCCTCAAAAGATTGCAGAAAAAATAGAATTAAAGGATAATGCAATTTCCCCTAAACGTTTTGCAGCTCTCTCATAATAAGCAGGTAGATTCCCAAAAGTCAAGCATAGCATGAAACAAAACCAGGTGCCATCATGTCAATTGTGACTCACGGTGGCCCCATGTTCGCGGAGTAGAAATGCACCCCACAGGGATTTTCAAGGCTGTGTGTCCTTTCAGAAGCAGGTTACTAGGCCTGTCTTCTGAGGCGCCTCTGGGTAGATTTCAACTGACCAACTTCTAGTTAGTGGTCAAATGTTAGTTGCTGGCACCACCTCGGGTCGCCTCCTACCGGAAATAAGAATGTGTTAATGATGACTCAGCATGCCGTTCTTTTACTCTGCTCCACTAATGCAAAACTTCTGCCTTTGCAAATTCTCCTCTGCAGTGACTGAACTTCTTGTACCAACTTTCCCATCAAAAAAGTAGTGGTTCAAGTCTGTTTCTTGATTGGTATCCTTCAGATGCTCATATTTGTATCCGATTTAAGAATGACTTGCTGTAAGAATGATTTCAGCCCATTATCAGTCAGGGACTCGAGAAATGGGAGACCTGAAGGTCTACCATCTAGAGCAGTGGTTCTCAACCTGTGGGTCGTGACCCCTTTGGGGGTTAAATGACCCTTTCACAGGGGTCGCCCGATTCATCACAGTAGCAACATGACAGTGATGAAGTAGCAACGAAAATAATGTTATGGTTGGGGGGCCACCACGACATGAGGAACTGTATGGAAGGGTCGCGGCATGAGCAACGTTGAGAACCACTGCTCTAGAGTCTTCTCTTTCCCTTTTCCCTTGGCTCATTATGAGAACTGGGTCAAGTTTGGCATCTAGGATGAAACTCCAGAGGAGAGAATTAGGACCGAAGGGTTGAAATTGTAGGTCGTCAGGCTTGTCTCAATATGAAGGTGAATTATCCTTACATTTTTAATTCACATGCAAAACATATTCATGCTACCAATGAGATGGGTACTACAGAGGGACTTCAAAAATGTTGTGGAAAGATAAAATGAAAAGATAATGGAATTTTTCCATGAACATTTTGAAATCCCCACATAGATACAAAAAAAAAAAAATTTTAATCCCCAATTTTCACTCTCCAGATAACTTCTAATGAACACTTTGATGGTCTTCTCATCTTTGCCCATGAAGGAACTAGCCAACAAAAATTCCTCCCAGGACTCAGTGAAGGCTGAGCTACCTACTTGCTCGAAGTCAGAAGGGGCCTGATGGTGGAGGGCGGGTGCTGGAGATAGCACACTGTCCCTGCTTCTCTGAAACATAGAGGACAAAGCTTATATGCACTTCAAAGCAAAAAAAGGGGGGGGCTTATTTTAAAGAACATTTTTCTAGTTCTAAAGTTTTTCTTGGGTCCCAGCTGTGTCCTCTTCAGCCAAGGGTTGGACCAGGGAGCTGTGAACTTCCTGTTGTAAGAGGTGTTCTGACTGGCGGGAGGGCCAGGTCAAGAGATTCCTGGCCATTTGATTCCTAACCAGAGCAACCGTCAAGCTCCTCCTGGCTCTCAATTCTGTGATTGGGTCTTGAATTAGACTCAATCCCTTGCTTGGTTTTTAGCTTTTTTGTTATTTTTTGTTCTTTTGTTAAATGGGCCTTTTGCTTACTGCTAGGTAAGTCTCATGAGCTCTTTAAAACTCAGGCCCCTGGGTAAGAAATCGATGAGGGTAGAAGAGGCTGCCATGCTTTAGCTGGCTGAGAGGGCGAGCAAGCCCCAGAGTCAGCCTGGCAAATATGTTTGAGACCATAAGTAATAGCAACATCAAAAACGTTGAATTCAGAATCTTGTCAGAGGCCATTCTGGACTCTCAGTAAAATCTGTATGTCCCCGAGGCTCATGATGTCTTCTGACAGCCTGAAGGAATGGAGAGAGATGAGAAACTTGACGTCGTTCTTCTTGAAATGAGATGTCAATCTGAATGATTGATAGGGAGAACAAAATGTAATTTCATTGTAGGACTTGGCCTTTCAGAAGTGTGTGGAGTGTAACCATGCCTACGTGGAGACTTTATCGAGCTATAATGAAGTGGTTATGGATCCAAACATGAAATTTGTTATTCTTGTGTATGGTAGTGTAATTGACACGAAGACAGAGAAAGCTTATTTTGCACCTTCCATGCTTGCTAAAACTTGTGAGCAGGTAAGTGGAATCATTGCTAGAAAGTTAGCCCTTGTGGTTAGCAGCTATTGAGTTGATTTTGACCCGTGACCACCCTATGTATGCAAAAGAGAACTGCTCTCTAGGCTTTTCACGGGCTGTTTGGGGAGGCACCTCTGGGTGGGTTTGAATCACCAACCTTTTGACTCCTGGTCAGCTGCGTAACTCTGCAACACCCAGGGACTCCATGAAGGTGCTACTAAGTGATGTCAAAGATCCTTGGGGACGTGGTGGCTCCCATGGTGGCTGCTAACTGCAAGAGCGGCAGTTGGACCCCACCAACCTCTCCTTGAGAGAAAGAGGAAGAGGCTGTGCTCCATCGAAAGATCCATGGTTTCAGAAACCCGAGAGGGCAGTTTACTCAGTCCTATAGGGTTGGTAGGAGTTGAAATTAGCTTGATGGTATAGGGTTTGGTTGAGTTTTTATTTTATTTTCGTTTTTGTATTTGGAAGTGATGTTAAACCTCAGTTGACCACCTTAAAAGGAAATCTAACCTGAAAAGACCCTGACATCATCACTTGCCTTTTACAAAACCTTTTAAAAAACCCAGGGCTTCTGGGTACTGTGGTGCAGCTGCTCCCTACACAAGGGTACCACTGAGGGGAAAGTAAAAAAACAAAAAAACAAGCTCACTGCCATCAAGTTGATACCAATACACAGCGACTCTGTAGGACAGGTTAGAACTGCCCCGTGAGTTTCTACTACTCTGTTTCCGGGAGCAGAAAACCCTGTCATTCTCCCGAGAGGGGAAAGTAAGTGGGGCTGAAATCTGCCTGTTTGCCAAGCCTGTTGCTCTGCTGTGGCCTTGTGCTTCCCCAAGGAAGGAGGTGGTATGCTTTGGCCTCATTCACACCATGGCAACAGTGCCATGTGCTAGAGGGGCCTGGCGAGGACCTGCACGAGTTGTGAAGAAGGAAGCTGACTAGGGACCACAGTCACTTTGTCACCACAATAGGGTCTATGGGCACATCTGGATGTGGATTCAGTGCCTCCAGAAGGGAGGGGCAAGGGGAGGGTGTGAGGTTAGGGCATACTGGAGATGGGAAAGGGAAAAACAAGCACCTCAATAGATGAAGCTGCCTGCCTTTGGACCCAAGGGGTGGCAGGAGGGTGGAGCCCAGGAATGGGGAGGATCAACAAGGGGGGAAGAAGAGCCTACATGATATGTCTGGAATCTTATAGGAAGTTTCACCCCTTTCTTTTCTTCTGCCTGTTCAGGCTGTTAACGGTCATTAAAGAAATAAAACGTATACCCTGGAAAAATAGATTAAAAACAACACAACAAAACAAAACAAAAACCTCCTAAAAAGTGGCTTTGCTGAGGTAGAGCATAAGGGAAGAACTTTCCCCAGGCCAGGAACATGAGTTACTGTCAAAACATTTCTTTCCCACTCTCACCTGGCAGAATGAAACATTGTGGGGTAAAGAGAAACAAATGCTAGTTTTTCAATCTGGTAAATAACGAAAAGAACACCCACCCCCAAAGTAATTTGCTCCTTTTATAGCATTCTTATTTTGTACCTCTCCACAATTCCAAGAAAGAAGACAAATTTATACATTTGAAAAACAGAAAATGAAATATTGTTGAGCTTTGGAATGAAGGGTGAGGGTAAGAGGCAAGGGTTTAGTTTGTTGAAATACCAGGCACTCTTGGATTTAAAACTCTTCTGCCCACTAGGTATATGTGCCTAGGAAAACTGCTTAAGAAGAATTTCTTTCACAGTTCTACTGGCATAGAAATCATGTACTATACAATTCAATGGTTTAAATTATATTGAAAAGAGTTGTGCAATCATCACCACAATCAATCCTGGAACACTCTCTTCTTTCACTAATTATTATTAGCTCCTCATCACTTCCCAACCTTCCTTGCCTATCCCTGAGGAACTATTAGTCTAGTTATTGTCTCTATGAATTACTTATCCTGAATTTCATATTTCAAAAATCATACCACCAAAAGTGACAACAATGACAACAAAATAACACACAGGAAAACCTTAATCCAAAAGAAAGCAGAAGATAATAAGAATTAGAACAAATAAAAATGGGTCAAAATGAAAAATCAAATTATAACATGTTACATTTTAACTAACTATATCTACAGTGGAGCCCTCTTGGTATAGTGTTCATATACTGAGCTGTGATCCATGAGATCAAAACTACCAGCCGCTTGTCAGAAGAAGGACAAGGCTTTTACTCTCATAAACAGTTACAGTCTCAGACACCCACAGTGGGGTCGCTGTGAGTCAGCAGTGCGCTTTGTTTTGTTTATATTTACAGTGATGCACTCTCCAATGCACTTTGCCTGAGGGAAAGGCCATTCATATCCCTGCTCCGGGGCCTGAGGGAGCGCAATGGAGGCTTAATCCAAATGGGGACTCACAAAATGGATTTTGGGTTTTTCTGTCATGCATAGCCTTCTGCAAACTGGATGCTTAGAATTTAAAGTCTAATACAATCCCCTCTCTTATCTTGGATTTTGTGTGCTTCTTCTGTATAGACTTAGCTGACACCTCACTTAGATGACTGCTTATTTTAAGACAAGTCCTAAGACTTCAGACACTGTTGTTTCTGGTAGCTTGGCACCATCTGCTTTCTTCATCACACTTTGCTATAATACCCATACCTTCAGGGATCACTTCATGAGGACAAGTATTGAGCAGGAGCACAATGTAAGAACTAATTGTTCTTAGACTAGAGTTTAGGATTAAGTGTGAGTTCAAAATCTATTTGCATATCTAAAGTTTATATATATCCCTGGTCCACTTTAGGTGTACACACACACACACACACACACACACACATATATATATATATATATATATAGAGAGAGAGAGAGAGCAATACCTCAATATGAAACAAAACAAAGCAAATAATCCAACTAATTTGGACAAAACATATGCACATACAGTTAACTAAAAATGACATTTAATTGGTTAACATATTCATAGAAAAATGTTCACCATCACTAGCCATTAAGAGATGCAATTTGAAACAATGAGATATCACCATATATTCATGATAGCCCAATTTAAAAACAAAAGTGAAAACAATAAATGTTGGATAGAGTGTGGAGAGGCAGGAACTGTTATACCCTGATGCGGGGTTTGTAAACAACTACAACCAAACAACAAAGTACAACCAAACAACTGGGACTAGAAATAGCATAAGACTAGCAATACTTCTGTTGCATATATACCCCAAAGAAGAGAGCTGCAACACAAACAGACATGCTCTCTCATATTCACTGCAGTATAGTTCACAATAGTAAGAAGCTGGAAAAAACCCAAATGATGCCCATCAGTAGTAAAGTAGGTCAAGAAACTCTGGAATATACACACAATGGAATACTACGCATCCTTAGAAAATAACAGTGATACCATGAAACACCTCATGACACGGAGGGACCGGGAAATTATTCTGCTGATTGAAGTTAGTCAAACACGGCAGGATAACTATTGTATGAAAGCACTACTATAAGAACCAAGACAAAGGCAGGCATCTGTTCTCAAGTCTTGTAATCTTCTAATCTGATGTGTCCCAAGCAGCGAGGCCGGGTGCCTCTCTAACGCTCATGATTCACATATCATCCCCTTATTTGTCTATCTTAAAAACCACTTCAACAGAGGGGGCTTCCCCCCAGTTGAGGTCAGTTTCTCAAGTTAGGGGGATAGGGAGAAGACCAAGCTGTCCCTGCCACATAACACTGTTCTACAGTCACCCCAAGTCAACAGACACTCCTACAAGGGTGCCCAGTGAAACGTAATGCAAAGTCAAGTCCAAGTCATGTCTGCTTTGGAGAAGGCGATTTCACTTCTGTTGAGTAAACGAGGTGGGGCACGGTGCGTTTGGGAAAACATTACTTTTATAGACCACCCCCCAAGGGAAGAATCTGCCATCATGTTCCTAATTGGGTACTTTTGACCTAGTTTTGATCCAGCCTTTGGTGACTTGGGCCACATGCTGTAGACAACCAGGACTTTAGACCCTTTCCTTTCGAGGTGCACAACATCCTGCATAGGCCACCCCAGAAGGTTTCAATTCAAAAACCCCACTAAGGGAACTGGACTAATGTGAAACTCACCTGTAGCAGATTGAAGGAACTGCCAGACTCTCTTGGACTTAAGGCTGAAATGCCCCAGTGTGAGAAAAACAGATGACTGCTATCCTAAGGTTATGGAATTCCAAAGTGGTTGGACTTTGGACAGTAGATTGATGCAGATGTAGTTAGGTTAAATTTTAATACCTTATCATTTGCTCTCCCTTTTGATCTATATTGTTTGTTCTAGTTTTTATTATTTTCTGCTTTCTTTTCTATTAAGGTTTTTCCTGTTTTATTTTGTTTTTATTGGAGTTTATTTTTTGCTTTTTGTATTTGTATTTTTAAAAAATATGATACCCAGGATAGGTTAAACCTGTGGAGACAGTAACTGGATTAATAATTTCTTGGGGTTATGGCAGAAGGAGTTCAGGGGCAATGGCGAGCTAATAATAATTAGTATGAGAAAGAAGAAATTGTTCTAAAATGGATTGTGTTGATGATTGCACGACTCTTTTTCATAGGTTTAAACTGTCGAATTTTAGTTAGGTAAGTGATATGTCAATAAAACTGTTAAAAAACGTTTTTGAAGACTTTGTAAAAATGCATGATTAGTAAGACAATACTGGGGAGATTTTCCCATTGGGAATAATGTTACACATTTTTGCCAAGGGCAAGCTGCCCCATCCTTGGTTCATCCACCAACCAAAATGAAATAACCTTCCCAGCGACCACCATCCTCCCCACTCCCCCCACCCACATCATGAATTCTCAGCGAAATTCACTGACCATGATCATAGGGGTGTTTATTAATTTGATGATACCATGGACAATGTCATGTGGCAAGATCTACTTGATACTGACCCTCTCCCCCCATAAATAAATAACCACCTCAAGATTTCATGGAACAAACATAAAAGGGGCTTTAAAATCAAAGGGAAAAAGATAGAGCTGTGCTAGGAGGCCCATTCTAGGTATTAATTAATTCCTTATATTATGTAGAAAGGGTAGGATGCAGTCAGCTTCGAAATGATCAGAGAGTTTTGTCTTTTGACTAATTTTGACTTTTCCTCTTTAGATTCAGGGAACTTCAGACTTAAGCAAGTTACTGATCATCCTATCATCCGAGTCTACCAATCATATTAATAATACCAGCAGCCTGGACACAAGTAAGAGAGCTCTTTAGTGGTAGGAAAGCAAATGAGAAGAAACTTTGATAAATGTAAAGTTCATTAAATTCGACAAAGATTCAAGGGGATGCGGTGTGTCTTTATCATTTATCAACTTCTTTAAGTGTTACAGAAGCCAGCTTTCAAGAGACCCCATCCTTGGGCCCTCCCTGGCTGTCACACAGCTTCGGGGAGAGATCCCATGTGAGACACTTTCAAGACACGGAAATCCAGGAGGCTCCTTCGTCTCCTCCACCCGACCCCCCCTCCATATATTGACAAGAGAGAGCAGCTCTCTTGTGTTCTGCTCCTGCTCAGGACAACTGGAGCTACGCAGGGCTACAGGGCAGAGCAGGAAAAGGGAAGGAAGATAGACTTTAATATTGAGCCCAGGTAGGGGGAGCTGGTTTGCTGAAGGGAATATGATCCTTGAGTATTCCAAACTATGGTCCTAGCCACAATTCAAAGGACTAGGTTGGTGGGCCATTTTGATAGTCATGAAGCAAGTATCTCAAATCCACTGCTGGCAAATTGATTCTGACTCCTAATGACGGCAACAAAGGCATGCAGGAGGTGGTCTGACCTCTCCTGACTGCATCACTGAACAGGAGACTCAAACTCAACATCAGCCCAGTGATTCCCGCCTTGAGGTGGTGGTCAGGTATGCCCCCACCCTCTAACTTTCTTTAAGAGTTCTGATACCAGCTGTCCCGCCCACATTTTCTATGTCTCCCCTAGATCTGATCATTCTTTGCAGTGGTCACCCAAAAGTCACAGGCATACTCGATCGTGGACTTCGTGAGGGAAGTTAGCCCCCCTGCTCTGCCTCATGCTCCCGGTCTTGGTTCTACTGCTGCTGCTTCTGGGGTCTCACAGCTTTCTCTCCCTGCATGGAGGAGGGTCAATATGCAGGGATCTTGGGGTCCAAAGGATGTGTTCCACTCCTGGCACTTCTATCTTGATGATAGTGAGAGGCTTCCACCCCCTTTTCTGCTTCTGTGATGACTCCTTTTATACCTAGCAGGATGACCCAGCTGACCAATGCCCATGTTAGAGGTCCAAGTGTTTACGATCACAGTTAGCTTGGTTAACAGCCACTCACACAGAATCATATAACCCTATCAGCAGCTTCTCCTACTGTCTCTTACCTAGACTAGACCCATCAGGAAAGAACCATTTGGTGGTAGTTACAATGACTATGGCTAAGAAGCCCCATATTAAGCACTGCAATGATCCTATACAGAGTAGAACTTCCAAATACAGAGTAGTGTTTCCAAAGTTGTACATCTGTATGGTCCAGAACACTCATCAAAGACACTCAAGATTACTGAAGAAATCCTCAAGTTTTAGAGGTTAGCTCACAGAAACCAAGAACAAAGGTCAAATTTTTGGGGTCGAGTTATTATAAACCCCCCCCCCCACAGGAAGACCTTTATCTATAAAAATTACATTTAAAAACAAGACAGAGCAAAACCAAGCAACACTGTACAACAAAACAGCAACAACATCAATCCACTGACGAAGAACAAATTAAA